TACTCTGAATTAGGCTACTACTACTATTACTATCTTGTACCCTGCAATAATCATTTGCTCAAACTCACTTTTATGGGATAAATGAAAAAAAAAAAAAATTAGAAAAATGGCCAAACATATCGGCCAAAAAAATCGGCATCATATATCGGCCATCGGCTGCCCTGATTTCTAAATATCGGCATCGGTCAGTGAAAAACCCATATCGGTCGACCTCTAATATTATTAGTAACTGCACTTATTATTGCAAAACTCAGATTGCATTGATCATATAACTATTGGTCAGTAAGGTTGTAAACGTTAATTTAAATGTTAATGAGTATATTTTCCACATTCCGCACAAGGAAAAGATATACAAAAGTCTCATTTAACCTGCAATAACTTCAGCAGTTGGGTGTTGAGCTGGGTGAAAATGAGCCTTACATGGAAACATTGACCTAATGGTTAACGATCTAGACTGCTAACACAAAGGTAGTGGTTTAAAAATCCAAGTAACCTGACATCACAAACCCGTTTTATCACTTTATTGTCCTTGAGTGAGGCACTAAACCCCCAAGTTGCTTGGAGCAAACTGGCCCTGCAATCAGCACACAGTAAGCCGCTTTGGATAATAACTGTCTCTTAAATGTCAAGTAAATGGCCACGCGAACAACTGATCTACTTTAGAGGTCTCGCACTGAAACCTAGATGCCATCGATTAGAATGGTAACAAAGTTTAGTCTTCAAAATGAACTATTACATATTCTAAGCAGACTGTTCTGCACTTTAAAAAAAGCAAACTTCATGCCTAGCTTGAGGCTATTCAATGTCAGAGTCCTACTCTAGAGGCCGCTTATTTAAGACACACATGCAGTGCAGTGGCAGGACAGAATATTGAAGGATTGCAGGGCTCCAGGTCATCACAGTATCAGGGACTGTGGAAGAAAAGCCTCAGCACAGCTTAAGCATTTCCCCTAGTGACAATGAATCATAAGCATGGGTGTGTATGAAAATGATGACCACATTTGGAAAGCTTTCCACAACAGCTGAGAGAACACCCTGCCTCCCCTTGTCCTTTTTCTTGCCTTCCTTCACTGATGTTGTGCTAATATCTAATATATGCTAAGCTGTGGCTGCCATGGCAACCCTCCGCATACCAGATTTGGATTGTGTTCAAGTGATGCTGAAGTGAGGGTGAGGGCTTAAGTGAGGGCTAAAATGGCTGGACAATAATCCTCAAAACTCAGGACAATCGCTGCAGAGCATGAAACCGTTGATGGGAAGGTGATAGATGAGGGATTTAGGGCAGAATATCAGAGAGAATGCCAAAGCGTGCAGGCTCTCATGAGTGCTGCCGATCATGTGACTTGTGCTCAGAGCTCAGCCGTGAGAGTGGGTGGGTGTGGGAGTGTACTGGCACTGAAACGCTTTTTATTGGCTGCCATGGCTTTACTACTCAGCATCGTGGATTTTCATACAGGTTGTGCACTCAGCACCATGTCATCTGACTGCAAAATTTGAGCTTTCATGACAGCAGGGATATATTTATGAGAGGAATGACGTTATTCCTAAGTGATTATTAATGATCTCAAGTTGGGTATTTATCAATGCTTGCAGCTTGGTGATGTAGCTCTGTCCAATGAGTTGGATATATAAATGCATCTCTCTAAGAACCTTTAGCCTACATTGTTTCCGCTGCATCTGCCTGTACCTCATAGCGCTTGCACTTTTGACATTTCTCCTCAAGCCCTGGAGAGGAATAGGATGTACGTGCGCAAGACTTCGCTGCACACACAAGCTGCATGCGGAAATACCTCTACAGTTATGAATGAAAAGACAAGGAAGCAGAGGGCATGCTGAGGCAGGGACACACACATTCACACAGGAGCAAGAACGTGACACACAAGTAGAAACAAACAGGAACCTTAAATGAGTAAAATAAGCTGGGTGAGTTAGAAGACCCTGACGGGGTCTGATGAGGAAGGACGGTGAGTCTTACCTGTCAGAGATGTCATGACTTCCTGTGGCTCCAAGCAGTCCGAGAGCTGCACTTCCCACCACTGCAGCAGCCCCACTGCCAGCCTCCATGATACTGAATCACTGCAGGAGCAGCCTGCCAGAGAGAGAGAGAGAGAGAGAGAGAGGGGCAGGGAGGGAGAGAATGAGAGCAAGGGAGAGAGAATTAAGAAAAAAGATGTAGAGTCAGTACAGAGTTAGAAATGAGAGGTAAAACAAGCAGAGGAGAGAAAATGACACAGACTGTCTCTAGAGGATCGTGGAAACCTGGGCTTTTTACTTTCACATCCAACAGCCAATGATCATTTCATTGATCAATCATTTTCATTCACTAAAATAAAGCTGGAAAAAAATATATACATATGGACAAAATTCAAACATGATTCAATATTGTCAGTCAGTCAGTATTTGCCTTTCCTAGAAGCCTAGGAAGTGATCACTTATTAGAGCATTAATATAGATGCCAACTGAAAGAACAACTCTCTCTTTTAGAAAACATTATAATAATATTTATACAGTTAGAATTATTCCAAAGAAAGCATTTAAAAAGTGTTTTTTTTTTTTCTTTTTTTTTTTTAAATGTTTATCAGATATCCGCACAAGAATGAATGACTTGATATTTCAAATTAATGCTTAAATGTATTTTATTTATTTCTTTTTTATTTGCATATGAATTTCT